CTTCCCCAGTTTTTTCCCATGAAAAAAGCTGGCGGAAAAGTCTGGTGGAAATCGTACTCATGGTCATCGTCACCGGTCAGAGCGGCGACGACCGTTGGGACAATCCTTCCATGGAATTCTGTCAACTATGCTGTACCAAGACTTGAAGTTTTGGCACCAGCTCTGTATGAGCAATCGTATTCGGTGGGTCAAGCCACCCTTGGGGGATATCTTCTCGCCGAGTTCCCCGACAAATTTCAATAAAAGCCGAGTAGGATCACAAGTTGGGTTACAAATGGTGGAATAACCTTTTTCAATTGATTTAGCTCATCTCTCGGTACGCCATTATCAAGCTCACAGCGTAATGAATCGCCTCTAAGAAAAGCTATCACCTGCTATAATCCATTTAATCAATTTTTTTTTCAAAAAAATTGAATAAATGTTTCATGGCAGAGGGTTCTTCCTCATGTACCTGCGGTCAAGTAGCGTAGCCAGAAGCGGAGCGAAGGAGGAAATGATATGCAAAACAGGGCAAATGAAAGGCTGTGAGGCTATGAAGGCTATTAGGCCAGTTTTGTTGCCAAAACCTTTAGCCAAAAGCTTCAAGTGCAAAGCAAAGCCACATAGGACTATATTGGTATATACAACGTTTTATTGCATAAAGCTCCTGCCCATACAAAATAGTTTGTTTACAATGGGGCTCTTGCAGTGGAAGGAAATTTAGTTAGCGACTGGTAATTACTGGAAAGCGATGAAAACTTCCTTTGTTTTTCGTCAGAGCTAGAAGATCCCGAGAGACTATGAAACGAACAAGACAAGGGACTCATAGCAGGATATCCCCCTGTTGAAAACCCTTCAAAATGGTTCATGATTCCTTGGATTCATTGAGCCCGAACACATGAGTTTGAGCTTGTGATGAGCCATGTATTCGATTACTTTGAAAGTTACGCTATGCCATCAAAGTACAGTACACACTGGGGGTGTCATCAATCCAGTCAGAAGACTTACACTTATTGCAGCGTTTACACTGGCGATTATATCGGCGGACCGTCGACAAACCGTGATTCCGCCCTAAATCCTTTCACGGCCTGCAAGTGCCAGTTCAAATTGCCTCGAAATCAAAAACTTTCGATATCGCAATGGTTGCACGATCTGGCGTGAGAGCGCAGTCCACACGATACTCGCACATTCTGAATCGCTTACAAGGGAATAGGTTTAAATCCCTATGGAACTTTGATTGGAGGACTAGGTACATCGAATACACCTCGAATGCTGATACGATATTGCAATGAAAAAGTGCTACGGGGACCTCCCAGACGAGATCTGGGTGGTCAAGTTTGCGAAAAGCCAGTTTTGGCTCGTAAGCGCTGCTGATCGATGCCTCGGCAGTGCCACCGTGGCCTCGTGGTAATGGTCTCGCTTTCAAGTCGAACGCTGCGGGTTTGCATCCGGTTGGCGCGAAAATTTTTGCCTCGCTCCCCTATAAGAGCCTTCAAACTCTAAATTTTCGGGAATCTTCCGAATTTTACGGCCAGCAGCCGCAAGGTAGCATCAATTACGTCAAGTATACGAGTACTCGACGGTGAGTGTTGTAGTGGGTGGTGGTGGTCCAATGCTGCCCTTTCAAAGTTGTGCTCAAGGATTGCAATTGGCAGACGACGTTTTATTCGTCGAAAGAATGTGATATCCGTATCAGGGTGGTCGAAATTCCCATAATGGAACGAGTTTCTCGCCAAAACTTTGAATGGTGGATGGGGACCTGTCAGACGAGGGACAGATATGACAAATCTGAGATCGAATAACTCATTATACTTGATGTATTTTGATTTATTGCCCTGCTGGGCCCTGTCGGAATCCGGAAGAATTTTCGAAAATTAGGAGTTGCAAGCATTTATAGGGAGCGAAAAGCCAAAAATTTCCGCGCAACCGGATGCAATTTTCATGGGTTTGACTAAGAAGTGAGACCAGTTACACGAAACGCATGGTAGCGGCACTGGCGAGAATCGACCAGTAGCGCTTTGCGAGGCCAAAAATGGCGGTGGTATTGGCGCAAACTTTGACACCAGATTGGCTGAAGTTCCACGTAGCACTTTGTTAATCTGACATATTCGTAAATCAAAGCATTCGAGGCTCTTATCGACGAACGGTAGGTCATCGATGCACAGTTAGAGGGGGGAAAGTTGAAAAGCCATATCTCTTGTTCAGATCGCGAAGTATGAGATCAGCCTTAGTCTTGCAGACAGCATAAAACGACGTACAGGCCCAGGAGAGGGCAAGTGTGATTTTGGGATCCAACAAGCAGGAGGCAAGGAGAAGTACATTGCTCAAAACTGTGCGAAAAGTCTGAGTCACTTTTTCCACTATAAATTTTTTTCAGATACATATATAGGATCCATTTTATGCGCGCGCTGCTTTCTTGCCAGATGGCTCATCGCATTTCTATTACACTATCCCTGAGGCGGGGGGAGGCGTGGCATTCGAACATGGCATAGAACTGGTAACTCGTGGGATATTTAATTTGAGACAAGCGCCATCTTGTTCTTTGTTGGACAGAGACGTGGCCACATTTGGTCGTCACAAATGAAAAAATATACTCTCAAAGCATAGCACCACGACGTTTAGTTGGAGTACGCAGCCACGCCTACCTCATCTCAGGGATTTCGAGTGTACTCAAAATCACCCCGCAAAGTAGGGGAGGGGGCGTTATGGATATTCCAACCGCCTGTACGGTTCCCACAAGTTTGATGTGAATGGTGCAGTCTCGTTAGCTGCAGATGAACGAGCATGTCAGACGGGATGGGTTTACCGCGGCTCCACACCCGTTCTGCCCAGTAGTGAGCGCGGGTAGACAATCTGATACGTAACGATACTATAGTCTCAGAACTGGTCGGTAAAGGGACTTGCCAAAATGTCCCGGATGACACACCCTTCATATGCAGACGAACAAGACTTTATTACAGTCCATGTCTATATCCTGAGTGTCATATACCTAAGCAGTAGGCCAGTAGAGCTCAATAGGGACTTTAAGTGTTACATAAGAAAGGCAAGCCTACTCTGTTCTTATCTGAAGGATGCAGTCACGTCCTTCATTGCGGATATGGAGCAGTATTTTTTTTGGTTAAACAGGCGTTCTCCATTATTACATTCCTTCATGTAGACCAACTACATTGAAGATAAAGTGTGTACAATCGCCTTTATGGATCCTGGTTCTTGCCATGTGCAAGGTATAAGGTCTGTAGCTGTTCTAGGTGCCATGTTCTCCACTCGAAAATGCAAGGACGCGAGAGTTGAGACGCGTTATGCTCAAGAACCATTGCACTATCAATATCTACTGACAAGGGAAGGATGCTAGTCGAAGTGCGTCATTTAAATGATATGATAGATCCGACTCCGAAAGGTCGTAAGGGGATTACGAACCGTCTTCCGACTTGCGCGACCTCCAGAAGAAGTTACGGAAGTTTTGGTATGGTGGGAATATTAGTTATCCGCATCAAGGCACATCGATCGTAGGAGCATGGTTCGAATGGATACTCGTAGGGCTTAAAGAGTAGGTCGCGGTTTGGGTCGTTGATGCGGTACGCTTTTTTGATTTTTCGAAAGTGCTCTCTGTGCACTTCAAGGATATTTCTGCATAACTCTGTGCTGATAGCTTAAGGGCTGTTGGTCAACCAGGACGCTCTCCTGCGAGGGTCAAAGAAGTTATTTTCACGAGCTAATTACCAGATGCAGTAGTTGAAGGGAGAAGGTAAGGAGGGATACAGAGAAGGAAGAAAGAAAAGAGACGGGAGGAGAAAAAGGCGAAGGAGGAGAGGTTCCTCGGTTGACAAAGGTCCTGAAGACGCGTGCCTGTATGAATTGTGTGACGTAATGTGCAGTCTCAGATGCACTTGTCAACGAGAAGCCTCTCCTCTCTATCTTTTTTTCTTTCCTCCTACTTCGCTGCCTTCCCTCTTCTCATGATCCCTCTTTTTTACCTTCCCCGTTCAAATACTGGACTGGTAGATGCCTCGTGAAAATAACCCTGGACCCTCGCAGCGAGAGCAGTCTGGTTGACAACAGCCCCGTAACTTTCGAGATCGCAGCATTGCGATCGATTCCATGAAAAATATTTTCTGGCTGTTGACTTCTTCTATCTTCGATTTGACAGCAAAAGTGCATTCTAACGAATGATTCTGCCCAAAAATATACCGTTCATTTCTCAAATGACATGACTGGAAACGAAGCCGCACGAAGTTGTGCGCGATGATGATTATTGTGAAAAAGTGCTTTCATATGAAGTGGCGTTGATACGGCATCATGCTGGAGATGGGCAAAATCTTAATTCATCACTTACATAGTGTTGAATGATGTCTATATCAAGTGGTTGCATCTGCTGGAAGTTTTCGGCTTCTATGACAATCTCTACAGCCAGAAGTGATCTCCATGAAATCGTTCGCAATGGCTCCATCAGTTCAGAAACATTACGTCACGACATTATTCAGGTAAGCGTTATGCAAATAAGCTTCGAAAGTTGCAAGGAACCACTTACGAAAGAAGCACAAAATGCGGGACGGAATCAAGAACCCGAACCTAGGAAAACCCTTCGGGAGCTCTACGACGTATCCACTCAGCCTTCTACACGGGTAGGCAAATGGTGCCTTTTAATGCGAATTGCGAATATTCTCCCATAAACCTCCGTAATTCTTTTCTGGGAGGATCCGCGAGATATATGGAAGACGCTTCGTAGTCCCCGTCCGGAGACCTTTCAGCCGGATTATACATTTTCATTTTCAAATGCCACTTCGCAGCCTACCATCCTCCCTTGTAAGATTCTGAATGGAAGTAGAATGCATCCGCATCCAAAAAAGGACTAATCAACGGCGAAGACTTTATCCTTGTATCCTTTGAGGACTTATATAATACAAATGAAATGTGAAATTGCAATGGTTGGTCGAGGTGTCCCTGCCGGTGACGGTTCTCAGCAAATGCGAGCGAATGGCACTAGATAGCGAGCGAGAACAGGTCGTGAAGGTCATAAGTCATTATGTCATTTTGATTTTGACCTGCCTTCTCGCTTTATAAGACGCACAATCGAATGTATCGTGACCATATTCTGAAAAAAGTGAGCGTTATATATTCCACAAAGGTCCGCATCGGAAAACAGTACCTGAACAGAAATCACAGTACTTTCCTTCGTTAGCTTGGTGGTTATTCGCAGCAGGCTCAACGGTGTGGAAATAATGGCTTGAGTCTGTAACAATAGAAATAGCTGCAGAACTGTGTGTTTGTGAAGCGATCAGATTTAAAGGACTCTGGAACCATATCTGAAGCCACTTTTTCAGATCTCTAACGTGCTTTACACAAGAATCGACTTTCAGGCAAAAAAAACATTTGACATCAGGGTCGTCTTGGTGGCGGGGCGTTTTTGTTAGTTACATCTATAAACTGTCGATGCACGGTGGAGGCCTGTAAGTCGTCATCCTTGCACTTGATAGGCATGTCAGTTGCGCTGCGTGCGGCGCGCCTGCGTTACGTCACGCACCCGTACTGCCACCATCGTTGACACCAGGAGTGACGATTTACTTATTATATTCCTTCGTGTTACTCGTTTTCTATCACTTTTTGTCGCATACGCGTTTCAACGAAAAGGCTGAGAAGGCTTCAAACAGTGTGCACGCTCCTTCTCGCCGACACGCCCCTATCAAGTGCAAGGATGACGACTGTAACTGTACCACGCTACGCATTACATGAAGCTGTCACGCCAGTACCTGAACAGAAATCACAGTACTTTCCTTCGTTAGCTTGGTGGTTATTCGCAGCAGGCTCAGGTGTGGAAATGACTGGCGTTGAGTCCTGTAACAATAGAAATAGGCTGGAACTGTTGTGTTTGTTGAAGAGATCAGTTTTAAAGGACTTTCTGGAACCCATAACTGAAGCAATTATTTCAGATCTACAACGTCTTTACGAAAACGACTTTTCAAGAAAACAATTTGGAGCAGTTCGGCTTGGTGGGGGCGTTTTGTTAGTTACCATCTATAACTGTCGATGCCACATGTGGAGGCCTGTATAACTGTACAGCTACGCATTTACATGAGCTTCACGCGAGCTTGACAAGAGTTCACAGGTCTTAGCAGTGCGATACTTGTAATTCAACAGGAACCACCAGATGGAGCTAGCGAAAGTGCAAAATGCCCCTCCTAAACCGAACAGCGCCGAAGGTTTCAGTAGAACCTAACAGGAAATCGCGAAGTTGTAGAACTAGTCCATACATTGCATTTGCCAAGTTTTTCCTGAGTGTATCGAATTTAGACCTGCTCTGAATGATCTCGGAATCCTTAGCTTCTGTGGTATGCGCCGTGCATCACAACTTGCTCACTGCGGACGCTGGGCGTTTCAGGGAGCTGTTTTGGCGCGAAGTCTCCCTCTTCTCCACCAATCGTGGAAGCTGGCCATCAAAATAACTGGAGAGGCTGGCGCTGCGCCAAACCCAGCCCCCCTTGAACGTCCCACTGTCCGCAGTGAACAGGGTACCAGAAGGCTGCCTACTACCGTCTACCGATTCGTGAAATAGCGCGCATGTAATGTGCAATAATGAATAAAAAAACTAAAAAAATTAAAAGTTCTTCCAGGCTGGGAAAAGGGAGCTTTTTTGTGAATTTTGAAAAACTTTGTGCTAACTATAAGAGATAGTCCACTGGAAAAAACACGCCCGGCTGTCACAAAAAGGCTCTGAAGCAGGGCCAAGCTGGTCCTATGGGCGGAGTCAGAACTAAAACCTTTTTAAGGTATTATTCATATCAAGAGTTATTCGCAATCGCTCCCTTAGCAGGTAATTCTTCTTCATTGAAGTTGAAGACATCTTGATACGCTAACCCACGACCCGTTGCTACATATGGGAAGATTTTTTTTGGGAAGACTGAGCGGGTCCGCGGCTGCAGAAGTAATATTACCGCCGTTCGAAAAGGTGTGGAAATGCGGCTGAAGCATAGGGATAGGCGGATGCCCTTCGGGTCTCCATTCGTCGAACATGGTATAAGCCAGGATATCCAAATGTGAGGATACAGCGTACCTCCAATACAAAGGATGCATCAGTGAAGCGTGACCAAGGGGAGGCTTCACTCCGCCCACACGGTAAGCCCCGACCACGCACCTGAATGGATTCACTTGTCTCAAATATACTACCAACTCTTCCTGCCGCAACTGTCTGAAGTGCGCCTAGAGCTAATTCCTCACAATGACGAAGCGTAGCGCTAAAGAACGCAGATGCCTTGGTACATCTATATTCTTTTGATTCTAGAGTCGGAGATTATGCGTAAGCAGTAAGAGGTAAGTAGTGAATATGATTGGTTCTGTCTACAAACAACGAAACGGATGATTAGCATGACTTTACGACTCACCTCTACGCCTGAAGTCGTCGTCGTCATAGGTGTGGTCATAGGTGTTGTCATCGCCGAACCTGTCCTCCGCGTCAGAATTACTGAAAATGGAAATATGAAGTTCAGGGGCTATCAAGATAAAAATTCTGGCGAGAAGGAACTTCGAAAGTAAATTGTGGATAGCGTGAGATACTGAAGGATATTGCTAAAGTAATAGTAGATTTCAGCATACACGTTCGGTCTCCCTCCTCAATAAAGCTAACTACAGCAGAGACTTCGCTTACCGCCGCGTCGTTGATGGCGTTGATGCGTTCGTCACGTCGTCGATTTCCTGAAATGAACAGAGTGGTATCCTCCGTACTTTCTAGACTGTAATTACACAGACACTCGGATGCGTATCGTTAGATTCAGCCGCAGCGACGAAGCATGCACGCTTACAGCCATTATCTCAGCAGAGCCGCCTTCCATAATTGCGGCGTGCGTCACAGGGACCACTACTGACCAGCAACACCCAGCATGGGGCGATAGTAGGGTAGCAGACAGTCGCTAGAGTATGGGGGAATAGGATGGTGAGACTGCTGGTAGAGAGTATAGGACGACTTAGCGTTCGAGGGTGGCAGCAGCACAACTGTAAGTGTGGGCAGATCACGAGAGCGTAGCAGACTAGTGGTAGAGAGGGGCGACAGGGGAGTACCAGCTGTCTCGGCACCATTCTCCTGTCGCTCCATACTCTCCAGTCCTGGACGCTCCAGGCCGTTGGTGGACGCTGGTAGACGCTGCTGGTCGCTAGACCGATACCTATACTTCCCTAGCCCTCGAGATGCCTGCTGGTCGCTGTGGGGTGCTTGATGGTCGCTCGTAGACGCCGGTAGACGCAGATAGACGCTATACTGGTATCTATGCTTCCACAGTCGCCGACGCTGCCGGACGCTCGGAACGCTAGTAGTCGCTGGTGACGTTGCTGCAAAGTGTGAACGCAGTCTACCGCTCAAATTCCAGGAGTTCGTTGCTCCCATCGACAACATGTAGTTGCCGCGCTCCGCCACATTTTACGTCGCTTGCAATAAGCGGCAAACTAGGAACTGTCTTGTGCTACCTTCATACCTTGCGGCGTCGACCAGCAGCGTTCACCAGCGAGCAGCAGCATTCAGAGCGTCCGTAGCGACTGAGAAAGCAGAGATATCGATCTAGCGCCTACCAGCGTCGCAGCGTCCACCAGTGACGTGAGGGATATGTATTGATCCAGGACGAGCAGCGTCTACAGTGACGTGAGGGAGAAGCACGGCACTTGTCAGTCAGGTGGAGCCTAGAGAGGCGTTGCCAAACTTACTGGTGGTACCTTCGGACTGCCTCGCTCAAGAACTTGAGCGCGAGCGGCCAGTCATCTGTGCTGGCGCCAACCTAAACATTGCCTACCTTCAATTAAATTAAGTCCCAGCCTTGGCAAACGCTGAGCAAAATAGCTACCCACTGCCATGGCAAAGCGCAGTATCCCTCACTCAAGACATACGTTTACGGTGTTAGCTTTCCTCGACTGCGGACTGAAGTGGCCTTACAGGAACTACATAAAGTGCCGATAAGTCCGCAGAAAGCTACTTGCATTTCTGAGGTAACTTTCAATTTTTAAAAACTTCCACAAAGTTATGATATACCCATTCGCAGAAACCCCAGAGAACAGCCTCCACTAATTAGGGATAGAAACATTCGAGATGTTTTTTGGTCTTTTTCTCGAACATTCAATCAAAGAATCGCAAGACTTTTGGCCTACCTGTACTAAACGCAGCCTTTCCCGCCCCGAGCAGTGGCGGTGGACGGCAAAAGAGACGTCATGAGCAAAGCCATCTGCACCAGGACCCTCTCACTCAACGTGGCAATGCTGCAGCGCGTCAAGCCGTCTAGCTCAACACACTGCAAAGTTCGTGGCGGTTCGACGCCCGATATATCATCCACCAACGCTCAATCAGTCTTTGGTTAGTTTATACTCTGTTACCCAGCGAACGGCTCTCCGTCCTGAGCTGTTAAAAATGAACTCAGACGAATTAATGTCGCTCACTTCCGCTGGATGTCCTGCCATTTATCGCCACGGCCTTCTGCACCTTGACCTCAGGCATCACAGCCATACGCTCTTGCACCGTGACCTCGGGCATCACAGGCATACGTTCCTGCGACTGTCTCTCCAAGATTTCTCTAAAATTTCACTTTCATCTTATATATTTGAAACTTGAAACCAGAGGAGAAAGAGGACCAGTCTGAGAGCGTCAAAATCCGCCCATATCATCCTTTTCCTTAGCTGCCATCACGATAGAGAGCCGAAATATTTCCCTCTTCGATGCGCAACGATACCAGCTATAATGACGTTGATAAACAAAAAATATCAGAATATTCACGAATTTGACAGCTTTGCTGGAAAAATGTTTGCAGAGTGAAACTTCGCAGTTAGTCAACAATCCTTCTTGAGACGAGTTGTCACGCAAATTCGATTCAGCTTCCGTCTAGCGATCGACATCTGCAATAACGCTCTCTGAGGTTCATCTCCTATTAGGGGAATCTAGAGAGATATGGGCTTTCTGAACGTGCAGACTGGGGGATTTGGGTTGCAGAGGCACAGCTACAGAAGCCACAGTCTTGTCCGCTGCGCGTCAGTGGGGGATGGGCTAGGCGCGGCGCCAAACCCGTTATTCAATAATTGTTGAAGTGAGTAAGCGACAATGTAGAAACACAAGAAAAACAAAACATTGGGGAAATGCATTTTACACTCCACAGCCACAAGATGGATCCGTTTCTCCGTGTTCGCTAAGGACGAATCATCGAAGTCTTACCAACCCCCCAGGCTCGTCAGTACGACAGGGTTGAAGACATGGACATAGACTACACAGGGGAAGGAGCAAGAAATAGGACAAAAAGAGAAAACATGTAGAAAAAGCTCACGTGTAAAATTCATGCAATAAAAATGAGAAGGAATTGTACAGTAAAAATGAGAGAATGTTATAACAGTTTTGAGTACTAAATACGTGTAAGAGGAAGAAAATTGGAATGGAGTAGATGGGCTAAACCAAAATAAGGGAATTTGAACAGCTAAGAAAAAAGCAAACTTAAACGGAATGGAATGTGCAGTTAAAGACAACTGTCGAGCTGACCGACGAAGGTAAAATCAAAATATGTAGCAATAAAAGCCTGCTAATCATACCCGGTCCCGTACAGGCGCCTCTTCCCATCCAATGCTCGATCGCTTACTTCAAAGGGTGGATGGAGAGGGCGCGCGACTCTCGCTATCACTTTTGACTCGATACACTGACACGCTCCATTTACATCCGCAGCGACGAAGACTGTTCTTACAACTCCATGATTCCTGCAACACGCATAGGGGCGTGTGAGGCGAACAATGGACTGGAACGCTACCAAAGTGGCCTCACCATCAATGATTCCAACCACGGGTCCGCATCAGTTAGCGGGACGGCTGTTCTAGCTGCGATTCCAGTCATGCCTCCTTACACGCCCCACTGTTTGCAGGGATCATGACTGTAAGTGCGCGCAAGCCAGCCGGCCTAATGTTCCTGATGCGTACGTGCAGCCTTTGCTAAAGAACATTGCACAACCCAAACAAACAGAGTGTTTCGTGTGTTTAGCACCCGGAGTCAGTCTTATTTACCGTAACTGTTTGCTTCGTTCTTTGAGAACCACCTCGACTTCGAAGCTGCCGCCTAGCAATCGCTGTCGCGATTACGGAGGCCTAGATGGGTTATGAGATCCGAGATGCGGCAGCGTGGCGACGGCGGCTCTGCAATTGATGTCGCCTACGCGACATCCGCACACAGAATTCATCTAAATCGGGAAGTACAGAAAAGCTAGGAAATGTAAGCTTCAGTAGGCCTGATCAACTAGATCAAATATCCTATTTTCTAAGAGTGCGCGACAACGATGGATCTCGCCAACCGGCTTGACATTTTTAAAAATGCCTCTCCTAGACACGGCTACACGAGCATGGAAACAACTTCTTTCTTGTACTCGAGGATACTGAGGAAGGCCTATTCTCTGAGCTACGAGCATATTCATTACTACAGTAACTGTTCCAAAATTTTGTTCCCCATTTCATCGATGTTGCCGTAACGGGCCACTATCACTCAGGAGCCCTGTGGCAACGGCATTTGAGTGATGGATAAGCGAAGGGTTTGTTAAAGACAATTAGCTCGATGGCTGGAGCGGGCTGTTGCTACCAATGCCAGTTGAAGGCTTAATCGGCTGTGCCGAATGCCCTCTCGCAGTTTTTCCACCAATGACGTTGGAAGCAACCGCCCGCCCCCAGCCTACTGCTTTCAATGATAAATTCTCCACTGTAATAGTGGCAAGCATGCTCTGATTATTTGTGGTTAACATAATAATAATGATATCACCATTTTGTTTAATCTCGCTAGTTGTTCGCGTAGTCGTTCCAGTTCTGAATCAGTAGCTGCCTTTTCTTTATTTAGACTATTTATCTTCTCAACGGCTTGTTTGAAGTCCTCTCTGATCTGTCAACAGTTTAGTTGAAAAAAATACATAATATTAACATAATTTCAGTGGAAAAATCAAAAAGAAAGTCCGAAAGCGCGACTCTCACTGACGATAGAGGCTCTGGAGAGACCTCTTTACTCCTATACTCCGTGAGTTTCTTTAGCTGCTGCCTTCTAATTGTCCCACACTCTTGTCATGGTAATCTTGGAACTCCTCCTGTATCAAAGTGTTATTACTATAGCGTATGGAAGAACTGTGAAACTGTTTCAGAACGTAAAACGCTCCAGAATGTCAAGGGGCCGGGGCTGCGAGCGATAGCTGACTGTCTTACTGTCAAAGACAACCCCCCGCGCTCAAGTAGACCATGGCGCCCTCTTGGCACGCTATTCATCCGCAAGTAGATACTGTCTCATTCTCGTGACTCTTCACGAGTGAGAAGCGAAGCTAGAACCGCTCAAAGTTCTAGTTCTAACGCCTGCTCAGTTGGACCGCCTCACTAGCTAGCTGCCCTCTGACGGAGAGCCGCTCAGTTGTTCCTTGTTGGGACGGCAGTCATTAATCGGAACTGCATGTATTTTTTGCTGACCGCGCTCGTGCTCGTAAATAATTCTGCTCTCCTTCATCACATTTTATTCATTGGGAGCACGTACAGTCAACAGCAACCCATCTCGTAAGGTAAAACGCGTAAAAATCACGAATGATGCAATTTCTGTGGTGCAAAAGCTCGACGCACTTCACTACACTAAAACATGCTCGCTACCGTAACCCTAGGTTCGAACGCCGGCTTTTTAAATGTTTCCTTTCCTTTTCAAGAGTTTTTCCTCTATGTTTCTGTTGTTTTTTGTTTTCTTTTCTTCGCATTCGATGATATCCACTACTGGGAGATGTGACAAAGTGATTTGTGAGCCAGGGGTTGCCCACGGACCGCAGGGCGGTGTAACTGTAAGGGAGCAATTTTGTTTGTGGTGTTCTTGAGGGCTCTTGTTGCTTTTTTCCTTCATTGAGGAATTACTTATCAGCTACTGTTTCATAATTGATCAGCAATTATCCTTGACACTTTTATCGCGGGAGCTGTCTTTAAACTCACAACATACAGCGTCGCTACGGTGTCTTGAAGCAAACCTTCTTTGATAAATGGGTTTCTTGTTTCCTCGACGGGAGGTCGTATTTGCTCGCTATTGAGAGAGGGGCGTGGGGTATTTGCCCTTTGAGAGAGAGTTTGTAGTGCTGGGAAATTTCGCAAAATTGGAAAAAAATGTATGAAGTTGGGAAAATCTAAGATAGTGGTAGGTAGGATGGGGAAGGGGGGTTGTATCAAGCCACCCTCTAGTAAGGGGAGTCATAGGGACTCGACCAAACACCCAAACTCTGTCCTGCCCGGAGACCACGACTGCAAGTAGCCAAAAACGTCGGGGGTACCTATAGAAAGCCTTACAGTTTTGCTTCGCCTACGGCATGCTGGCTGTCAAGCGGCGGAGCAGGGGGGGTCGTGCGCACATGTTCCCCACTTATCGTTGAAGGGAGCAAGCTGTCAGCACAATTGGTGATGGCCCCCGAGACGCCCTAGAATTTGCAGCGAACTAGACTGTAGTATATTACTCCCGGTCATCACGAACAGAGCCAGCCTACCACTCCAGCCGCATACACTATTGTATGTCACGGCGATGTTCTCGACATGTGCTCTCCGCCGGTTTCAAATAAGTGAATCGTGACGGTGCAAAGACTATACGAAACGGTGTTCCATAAACCAAGTGTTAGCACGTTGACGACAGTCACGTTTGGCGGGAAGCGCTACGAAGGGCAATGGCGCTCTTTCGCATGCGTCCGCTGTGAGCCACCGTGTCATTATCCGCTCCGCTGGACCACTTTTTTTGTCCGCTCTGTTATATTTCGCAAAATGATCAAGCAGCTCTGCAGTGAGCTCTTTTCCTACCACCCCTGACCACACTGGACACCATCTGCAGCCCCGCCTCCCTCGATCACACCCACTTTCCAACGCGATCTAGATTTTTGAAACTTCATACTGTAACTCCTGCCTCTCTGCTTTTTTTGCTCTTTTACCTTCTACGAAAATTCAAGGACGCCCATGCCAACACACTTTTTCGAAACGAGCGCTACTTAGAGCTCTGTTAAGCGCCAAACCCAGAGAGAATGAATTTCTCTTTCATACGGCTTCATGCCGTGCCCACTAGAGCCGAACAACCACTAGTCTCTGATGGTCAGGTAAGCTGGCCGCCCAAATGAACGCCCCTAAAATGTTTCTTTATAAGATGTCAGATATGCGCATTGTGCGCAGTTCACACTAGGTATTCGTCCTAACAAAACGTTGTACATCAAGTTGGCGGCCCACTGGCGTCACATGGCGTCAGCACTAAAAGGAGAGGACATTCTTGTAATAAGGATGTTAAATAAACCCGTAAAGGAAGCTCATATCGAATTCCAGCAAGGACTGCCAGTTACAAATGGGGCCAACTGGTGCCATATGGCGCCGACGACAAATACGATGAGACATTAGTGATCGGAGCTCCGAGCGATCACAGTCAATTTTCTATCCGAGGGCAATTATTCTGGAAGTTTCTGGGTAGCAATAGCTAGTTGAAAAAATCCAATATTCAATTCAAAATACTTCGATGAAGATGCGCCAACAGTTTTCTCGCTCATGTCCCTGCTGACGTTTCACCCTTTTCACAAAGCCACTCGATATTGAAAAAGTATCGTAGAATACCCCCACGCATCGGTGTAGACGGCCCAATAACACCCAGAAATTGTGTAGGCGAAATGCTTTACGTTTGGTGCACCGAGTGGC